ACACTCATCTACATTAGTACAATTGACCATGTTTTTAGAAGTTGCCAAATCAGAAATAGTAATTCCATCCCATAGACATTTATTACTTCCTATATTAGGCTTCTCCAGAGAAACAGAAGCAATAAGATATTTGTATTTATAGATAGAGAAGTTATTGTAAGGGATTGACTCGTGTGATTTTTTTTTTTATAGTACTGGAGTTTGAACTCAGGCCTACACCTTGAGCCGCTCACCAACCATTTTTTTTTTTTTTTTTTGTGATGGTATTTTTTGAGCCAGGATCTCGTGAACTATTTGCCTGGGCTGGCTTTGAACCTTGATCCTTCTGATCTCTGCCTCCTGAATAGCTAGGATTACAGGTATGAGCCACTGGCACCCGGCTGTCACATTATTGAAGTGAAGTCCCTCAATATGCCATCTGCAGGCTGGAACAGGAAACTAGTTAGTTCTACTCCAAGATTGAAGTCTTGAGAACCAAGAGAGCCAGTGTACAAGGACAGAAGACGATGGATGCTCCTGCTGGAGAAAAGAGAACAAATTTGTTCTTCTTTCACCATTTTGTCCCTCAATGGATTGAATGATGCCTACCCTCTGAGAAAAACAGGCCAAGACAGGAATGAAAGAAAAGAAGGAAGAAAGGAAGGAGGAAAAGAGGACACAAGCCTTTGTGCAAAATATATACATTATAAAATCCTTCTTTCTTTTGCAATCAAAAGGAAACTTGATTTAAAAAAAGGTTGCCTTGTTTGCAGAGCTGTAAGGATCAAATAACAAAAGGGACCCTTTTAACTCTGAAACAAAGCAACTTTTGGGAGGCTCTGCCCCTATTCTCGGGATGCCACTACTGCCTAGAACCCCTGTGGGACTTGCTTTCACAAGTTGGGAAGACTTCAATCTCATCACTATAAAATTACCCTTCGATTCTGACCCTAACCCACCACAGTGCCTCATCACACTTATGAGTTCCAAGTGACTTCTGCCAAATACCAAAAAGCATTCCCCAAAGACACACATGTATTGCAACTTAGACGCAAAGAATGTGTGGTCTGCTTACAGCCAATTTTCAAAGAAAAATTATAGAAATACTTAAAAGCGCTGAAGTACTGTTCAAATAAATATATCCTCTTGGGCCTAAGTCCTGGAAGAAGATGACACTAAGTTTGGTTGTATAATCTTTGCCATATTTAAGAAAAATCAGGGGCTGGTGGAATGGCTCAAATGGTAGAGTGCCTGCCTAGCAAGCATGAGTTCAAATCCCAGTATTACCAAAAAAAGAAAAGAAAAGAAAAATCACCTTTAAGGGGAACTGTAAAAAGAACACCGGACTTGGTAAAGGTACAAATGGGATAACGATGTTTGCCAGGATCCTATGAGATGGGCATTCTCTCTCACTGGTGAAATTATAAATTGGGTTTGCTTTCTCAGACAAGTTTGGCAGTGAGTATCACGAACCTTCAGCATTTAAACCAGTTGACCTAGGAACTCCATTTCTAGATATCTTTCTTAGGAAAGATACAGAGATACATATACAGCTATCCATTGCAAATATTATTTGTAAAAATGGTGAAAAGAATTCAAATGTCCCAAAATGGGGAAAATGAGGTAAATCATGGTATACACACTAAATAAAATAATGTAGCCATTTAAAATATTTTAAAAATTATCTATGATATTTGAAGATGTATGTTTGAATAAGTGATAAAATCACACTATAAAACTGAATGCATAGTCTCATTTTTACTTTCTATGTTTAAAAAAAAGTTCAAGATTTACCCAAAATGTTAAGAGTGGTTTTATTTGGGTGATGAAAATATAGGTGACTTAAATTTTTTATTATACTTTTATATGTACAATTTTTATTGTATGTAAATATTACCTTTTATAATTAGAAAATTATGCATAATGAACATTAAAAACAATTTTTAAGAATGAAAAAAATTTTGCATTACTGGAAGAGAAGAGATCTTCTCCCAAATAGCTTATGTTTTAATGGAGTAAACGAGACATGCAGACAAATAAGTTCATTATCAAACAATAATGCAATAATGGTGGCTTTGCCAAGTGTGGAGGGAAGGATCAGCTCTGCCTGGGAGAGTTGTAGTTTGGTGAAAAGAAGTAAAATTTTTGAAGGGTCTCAAAGGATGAATAGGAGTTCTCCAGGGCTTTGTAAATTGTTAAACACTATGTAAGTTAGTCTTTGGCCTTTATTACTATCAAGACTTACCTCATATAAAGCTCTCTTTCTTCTCTCTTTCCCATGTTCCCCAAAGCCCAGGATCCCTGGGACAGGAAGCAGCCGCAGTTAAACAGTCACACATCAGTGCTCCAGCAAGTGAACTGAGGTGCATCCAACTAAGGAGCAGATCCAGGAGCAGAGGACATAAAATGATCTGGGAGCACAGCCAGGAAGGTGCTGGTGGGTAAACAGTCCCCCCTATTTGCCACCCTGTGGTAGGCTGGCTTTGCTTGGGGCCTCCACCCTGACTCCCCCTGGGGGATGGTAAAACCTGAGAATGATGATCATACACCCGTCTGTGATTTACATTGGCAGGAAATGATGTGTCAGATGTCTAACAGCCTCCAGACAGGGCGGAGTAGAAAGAAGGGTGTGAATGAGGGAACTGGGAAGGGTGGCCAGAGATGATCTGTTATGGAGAAGTTCTTGGAAGCTCAAGATTACAAGTTGGTTTTTTTTTTCTTTTTCGTGTGTGTGTGTGTGTGTGTGTGTGTGTGTGTGTGTGAGAGAGAGAGAGAGAGAGAGAGATACTGAGGTTTGAACGCAGGGCCTCTCAGGCTCACTTGATAGGCAAGTGCTCTACCAGTTGAGTCACACCTCTAGCCCTTTTTGCTTTAGTTACTTTTTAGTTATTTTTCAGGTAGGGTCTCATGTTTTTTGACCCAGCTAGCTGGAAAATGATCCTGGCTACTTACACCTCCCACATAGTTGGGATGACAGATATGCCCAGCTTTTTTGTTGAGGAGTCTCACTAACTTTTTGCCTAGGCTGGCCTTGAACTGCAATCATCCTGATCTCTGCCTCTCCAGTAGCTTGAATTACAGGCATAAGTCACTGTGCCCAACCTTAAAATTGGAAGGGATTTAAAAGTTTTCTGATTTAATTCTCCAGATCTCTTCCCCAATATCCCCATCAACACTGTCTTGCTGTCTACAGGGTACAGCTCAGAGGCCATCACTTCCATTATCTCCTATTTCCTCTGGCCTGTCTTTTGGGCATTCCTTATTGCTTAATTTTATGGAAAATAAAATTAATATAATATATTATATTATATTATAAAGTCAAGAAGGAGCCAATAACCTCACCACCTTCCAGTAGGCCTACCTCCTAAATATTCTGCCGCCTCACAAAACTACCACACCTAGGGACTAAAACTTGTAGCACAGGAAGCTCAGGGCCAAATCACATTCAAACCATAGCATTGTGCATGGGATACCTTCTTTATCTGCAAATGAAAACCTTCTCTTATGTCAGGACCGAGTTCAAGCATTGCCTCTTCAGGAAAATCTTATCCAAGTCTTCCTGGGTACATGCGACCATTGTCTCCTTTCCTGCCTGATAACTCTGAGTTATCAGAGTTAACACTGACTTGTGTTAGTGCACTTGTAATGCTTTGCCATTCTTTTTTGTTTTATTTACTTGCCTTTTAGACAGGATCTCACTATGTAGCTCAGGTTGGCCTCAAACTCATGATCCTCCTGCCTTAGCCTCCTAAGTGCTGTGAGTACAGATGTGCACCAACCATCGCACCCAGCTTGCTTTGCCATTATTATACCAGATCACTGCTACTCCCTAATAGACATCAGCCTCATCGAAGCAAGGACCCAGCTTTCTATGTAAATCTCCAATGGTTAGCACAGAGCAGGCTCTGTGATCAATAACCATTTATTTCTGGAATATATGAACTCTCGTGCATCACGCTTCTCAGCATCTTGCTAGTGATACTTATTCAGACTTGGCAACATCTATTGATCAGTGCCAGGCCTTGTGCTAGGTACTTTCTAGCCTCCTAGCCCTTAAAGGGCTCACAACTGCCATGTGCAGGAAGAATTATTATCCTGTCCTAGTTAAAATCAAAGCTAACATTTGTACCCAAGTTCTGTGTTTTTTTGTTGTTATTGTTGTTTGTTTGTTTTGTTTTTTCTTTTTTGCAGTACAGGAATACAGGAATTCAGGGCCTCTCAGTTGCTAGGAAGTATTTTACCACTTGAGCCATGCCCCCAGTTCTTTTAGTTTTTCAGATAAGGTCTCACACTTTTGCCAGGACCCATCTGGGACTATGACCCTCCTATCTCCACCTCCCAAGTGGCTGGAACCAAAGGCGTGTGCCACCCCTTTCAGCTTGTTTTTGAGAGAGGGTCTTGATAACTTTGTCTTAGCAGGCTTTAAACCTTGACCATCCTCTTTGACCACTGAGGGGCTGGGATTAAAGGCTTGTATCACCATATTCAGTCCACGTCCTCTTGATGCCAAATCCCAATGCTTCATCTTCTAGGTGATGTCACCTGCCACACATTAATTCACCTGTGGACCCATCCCCTCCTACATAACAATTCCCCTGAGGGAAGGCTCTGTACTCAAATGTATTCAGTATTCCCTATGGCATCAAAACAGTACCTTATATTCAGTGCACATTCAATACATGTGTCTTTAATCCCCAAGGGTTAGAAAAGAAAGAATGAATATGTGAACAATGCTTCTGATATCAGTTCATATCATTCATGGTAATGGGCTGGAGGGAAAGAGCTTCTGAAGTGGAGCCTTCCCAGATACCCCTAGGCGTCTTCTCCAGGAGGGTCTAGAGAAAGCTGATGTTCTCTCTGTGCTAAAGCACTCATTTTTTAGAAATCACACCTTTTGCTTAGCTGCATATCTCTGGACAAACAGGCAGGCGGGGCAGAAGGGAGCATGCTTCGCTTCCAACGTGTTGGGAAAATGAGGTTAGGTTTCGATTCAGATAGTTATTTGTGTTTTCTGGGTCTACATGGTCAATAAATTTTCAACGAGCAGTGATTCTGTTCCTCATCTTTCATTGCTTTATGGGTCTTCAGGGAATGAAAGCATAACATCCTGCTTTCCCATAAGTTCTCTGGCCGCTACCCTGGCACCAATTAAAGACATGTCTATGCAATTAATCAAAACCAATTTGGAAGCCCTCTGGCGCTGCTCCTCTGATGTGCTGCCTGTTCCACATACAGTAGTTCTTCAGCTGCAGTGATGGAGCCAGGCACATAGGGGCTTTTGATGAACTGGCTGTGCTGGCCCAAGTGTTAACTATGTCATCTGACATGACTAATGAGGCTCCGGACTTGATCCGCGAGCAGAGCAGCCCTACCGTCTAGAGGAGGCTCAGTTTCCACAACCAGCCTGAGAAGAGGCTGCAGTGTTCAGGATCCACTCTCCATCATGTCAGCTGGAGTCCTGGAGGCCTCTAGTGTTGGAGCTGGGAGTTGTCCATGGGGAGGGTGATGGAAATTGTGGGCTAGCATGAACGTGACCCAATTTAAACTTATAGCTCAGCCTCCTCATTTTATAAACATGAAAACCAAAAAAGTGTGGGGCTTGCCAAAGACCTTTGCTTTGGAGAGAGAAATAAGGCAGACGGATGGTTTCTGTCCTTGAGGAGCTAAACTTCTTAGTGGAGCCTATAAGACCGTAACAACCAGGGCCTGAGACAAGTCTGCCTTATCAAGGGTTAAACCATAGAATTCCTTCTGTATGTGGCAAACCTTTATCAAGGGGGAGGGCTGCCTGTGCCCTGGTCACCCCAGCAGTCCAAGGAGCAAGGGATTTGGAGCCAACAGATCTGGGTTTGAGTCCCAGACCTACTTTAAGTGGATGTATTCTTCAACAAATCACTTCATTTTTCTGAGCTGTGGTTCTCGCAGTTGTAACTGTGGATCAAGCCAAATACTGCCCACCCAGCCTACTTCCTAGAGTCCTTCTGAGACTCAATGGAGTTAATGGGTGTGAAAGAGTAAGACTCTTGCATATGTTAGTTATTATTCATATTATTACCCCCTCTAAGGAGCATTGACTGAAGTCTCTGGAATATGGATCCACAGACAGCTTTAATTCTCTTCCTTTTCCTGCTTCTTTCAGAATGCACAGGAAGGAAATGGACTTAAAACCAATTGGTCATCTGCCTGTAATCTCAACCTCTTTCCCAGAGAGTCCATGACACAATGAGGCAGAATCAGACATTATAATTTAATGTCATTCTATACATTGATTGAGCACCTACCATATGCCAGATGTTGGCCACACTGTGTGGAGAATCAAAGTTGGATAAAACATGTTCCTCGGCCACCTTGAGAAGCTTACCATTTAGTGGGAGAAACAGACATGGACATAAATAACTATAATGTACTGCTTGAAAATACAAGCACCATAGGAAAAATACAAATCAAGTGCACTGGGGCCAGAGGAGGGAATGATTCATTCCCCAAAAGGAGACTAGGGAAAGGCTCATCAAGAGAGTGGTACTAAAAGCAGAGGCAGGGTTTAGGTCTATCAGGAAGCATAAGAAAGGGCACTCAGGCAAGGGAACAGCAAGGGCAAAGGTATGACATATGGAGAGGAACGGTAATCAGAAACAGAATAGAATCAAGTGAGGTGTAGAGTCTGAACACAAACAAGAAAAATCACTGTGCCCACACTGAAACCCAGGCATGGATGCTGCTGTTTCACTGTTCTCATTGTTGGCTGAGGTCATCTTGGCCTCTGTTCCTCAATTGGAATTTCATAAAGGCCTTCCTTCAGCATGGAGAGCCTAAAAGCATGACCAGGGAACAGCACCCATTATTAGATTAAAAAAAACAATAAAGACTCTGGGCTAGAAAGTGCCAAGTCACAGCTACACCTCCCCAGCCCAGGTAAGAGCTCCACATTGGATGTGGAAATGACACCAACAATGGAGGATGACACCAGAGAACTGAAGCCTCTTGGCCTGGGTCACACACTATTTTTCTCCCCACTCTGTCCAGAAGGAGCCAGCTTCTTCTGAACAAAGTGTTGCAGTCAGAATGGCTCTGGCAGACCCTCAGCTGCAGCTGGACTCCAGGCATGGTCATGAGCCACCCCAGAGACTCATAGCTTCTCAGTCTTTCCATCCTTCACTATGAATTGGTTTTTATTGTGTAAATAATACAATGATAAGAACAGAAACCCCAAAAGTAAGGGAAAGAGGAAAGAGCACTCACTCACATGTTCTTTGTTTACATTTCTCCTTGTTCTTTCTTGCCCGTCTGTGAGTGTAATTGCTTTTGGCGTCTTTTATCACTGATATAATTATACATTTTATTTTTATTGCCCAGCATCATATCATGCAGCTTTTCTTCATTTTGCTACTCACTTGTGTCCATACAGGCTTGGACTTATTTCCCCAACACTGAACAAAGGAGGCTGAGGCCAGGTAAATGAGACTTCCCAAGCTGAACATGGTGGCGCATGCCTGAAATCCCAGTATCCAGAAGGCTGAGGCAGGGGGATTGTGAGTTCAAGGCCAGCCTGGTGTACATAGTGAGACTCTGTCTCAAAAAAGTAAATAAAATAAAAGGGAGTTCCCAAAAAAGTTTCATGTATTGAATGCTTGGTCCCCAGCTGGTGGTGCTCTTTTGACAGATGCTGGAATCTTTTGGAGATGGGTCCTAGCTGGAGGAAGTAGGTTACTGGGGGTGGGTCCATAGGGGTAACTTGTCCCTTCCTGTCTCTCTGCTTTCTGTCTGCCATCAGGCAGACAGCATCCTCCACATGCTCTGGTCACCATTACATTCAGCCTCACCTCAGGCCTAAAGTAATAGAGCCAGTAGACTACAGATTTAAGCATCTGAAAGCATGAGCCAAAATAAACAATTCCTTCCTTTAAATTGCTCTCTGAGGTATTTTGGTCACAGATATGGAAAGCTAGTTAACCCAATACATGATCTTCATTGATGACTAGTATCATTTTGCAGAGGAAAAACATGGCTTTGCTGCCACATGGACTTGGGTTTGAATCTCCTCTTATTTGCACCTAGCTGTCCCTGAGCAGACCACTCCATCTTTTTGAGTCTCAGGCCCTATTTGAAAAATAAGAATATTAGTACCACCCATTGGATTGCAGTGAGAATTACGATAACAAAAAGAAATGCTCGATAAATGGTAACTCCCCTTAGGGGACTGACTTAAGAGTCTATCTTGCTTTTTTTCTCTTGCCCACATTTTACCTTCTCTGGGCTCAGAAGGCCTCCTGGGCAAGTCCACCTAAATTCTGACAGGCATACCAATCTGCATATTCATATTCACTGAGCAAATGTGTCATCTTTTACTTATGCTTTCTCCTCTGTTTTCCAGTTTTTCACTATTTCCAATAATGACACAATAAATATCAGTGCATTTTGCTCACCCATCCTTTAAAAATCATTTCTCCTGAATAATCCCTGGGACTAGGATCACTAAGATAGGTTAGAAACATATGATTGGCTTTTGATGTGTATTTTCAAATTGTCTGTCAGAAAGTTTACACCTGTTATGCTTGTCACCAAGTGGTATAGAGAACCACGTGGGCTACCTGAGAGGCCCTTGGCCTCTCACTGAAAGCTCCTGTTCCTACTTTCTTTTCCCAACATGCCTCCCGAACTCCCACAACACGAGTCAACTGACTATCCCATAAGCATCTCCTCAGAAAGATGCTCCCATGCGTTTGTGCCTTTGTACTTCCTATTATTTTCTGCCAACCTTGTCCACGGGTATCTTTCCATAAAGATACCCTCTTACCTTACAGCCCAGCCTCTATGGAACTAGAAATTTCTGTACTCTCTTCAAGACCCAACTCAAATACCCCATACTCTGTGAACTAGTTCCAATTCTCCAAGTTGGGTAAGTCATCCTTTCCACATCTGGTACCTAGAGGGATTCTTGGCATCCCAATTGTTCACTAAGAGACACTCATCCCCTAATCCCAGGTACATACCACAATCTGTGTGATTCTCTCTCCTCTCCCTCCTCCCTTCCTCTCGTACTAGGCAATAACCAGGTTATGCCAATTCATCTAAATACTCTTGGATCCACTTATCTCTGTCTTTTTATCATCATTGGCTATCACTTCTCATTAGGATCCCTGCAATGGTCTCAAGTAGTAGTACTGGTAGTAGTAACTGTAGCACTAGTACTACTAGTAGTAGCAGGAGTGTGTGTGTGTGGGTGTGTAGGCATGTGTGTATGTTTATGGTCCAAAAGCCAAGATTTTTTCCAAAGCTTACAATAAAAGCAGTACTAATCTCTCTCTGCCCCACAGAGACAACTAGCTTCTTTTAACTCTTTCAGCTGTTTCTTTGGGATATATTTCCATTTTCCACATATGATACCTATACTGCTGTTTCTTAATTTTAAGTTCAAACATTATCTTCTGACTTTGAACAATGGATTTCTCTAATACCATTGTCCTCCCCCATCCTCTAATATAATTAGATCTACAATCACATCACAATTTTCAGTTAAATAATTTTGTAGTGTTTACATTATAGCCAGAGTTTCCATTAAAAATATTTGCCCTCTGAGATGGCAGCATCCCCTCTGGGACGCTATCTCTCCTGGTGAGGTCTGAGCCTGCTGGGGGCAAGCAGAACACTCAGAGATCGGGGTGATATGTGGGAAGTGAGGCAGGCTGGCTATTGGTTGGTGGGCACCAGAACAGTCTCTGGATCATTCCTACACATGGTTCCCTGTGCAGGTAGGTATAGTAAGAGGGTCTAGAGGTTGATGATCAGTACAGGCACTAACTGATGTAAACATTTGCCTGTCTCTTGGGCAGAGTTCTGGAGTTCCAGGCAATGCCAGGTATTATTTGTTTAGTTGCCAGATCCTGGAAGTTCTAGGGAGTTCTAAGATGGAGAGAAGGGGCTTGGAAGTATGAAAATAGCCAGCCATATGAAGAGAGGGAATAGAAATGCAAGATCTGAGAAGTGGCAAGATCATCAGATGCTAGAGCAGAACTAAAAGCAATTCTACATGGCTGGACCATAAAGGACAGGGAATAGTTGCTAGAGCTAAGGAAATAGATATAAGATATAGATCAAGGCCCCTGGCACCTGTCTGAGGTTCCAATAACATTATTATTGATAAAACCCCTACTTTACAGTTGTCTATATGTTATAACATTCATTCCCACACTCTTTGTCCTCCTCAGAATTACAGGCAGTATAGAAACTTGCACATTACATTTTTTTCAAACCTCTT